CCACTGCACTCCAGCCTGGGCAACAGAGTAAGACTCCAACTCAAAAAAAAATTTTTTTTTAATTTGTTTTAAATAAAAAATTAGCCAGTGTGGTGGCATGCACCTGTAGTCCCATCTACTCAGGAAGCTGAGGCAGGAGGATTGCCTGAGCTCAGAAATTTGAGGCTGTGGTGAACTACATTGGTGCCACTGCATTTCAGCCTAGGTGACACCTCTCTCTAAAAAAAAAATAATTAATAAATAAAATACACACACACAGAAAAGATTGATAAGTTTATGTGCCAAAATGTTTATGGGGATATAACACGTATAAAATTCCTTGAATGGTGGAATCATGAGTGATTTTTTTTTTTTTGAGTCGGAGTCTCACTCTGTTGCCCAGACTAGAGTGCAGTGGCTGCTCCCAGCCACCACAGCCTCGACCTGCTGGGCTCCGGCAATCCTTCCGCCTCAGCCTTCTGAGTAGTTGGAACTACAGGTACGCGCTACCATGCCCGGCTAATTTTTGACTTATTGTAGAGATGAGGTCTCGCCAAGTTGCCCAGGCAATCCACTCACCTCAGCTTCCCAAAGCGCTGGGATTACAGGCTGAGCCACCATCATGAGTGACTTTTATTTTTCTTTGTGTTCCCTTATATTTCCCAAATTTTCCACAATGTACAAATCTCTTCAGCAATTAAAAAAAAATTTAATATTACCCTTGGAAAAAAAAAAAAAAGCCATATGTCAAGACTCCTGTAGCCACTGAGACCAATAAAAAAGCCGAAGAGGCATTCAGGGTCATGTTCTGGGAGGAGGGATGCCCACATCTACCTCCTGCCGTGAGCCTCCTCCCTCTCCCCAGGCAAGGCTCCAGCCACAGAGTGACAGGCCATTCCAGCTGCGGCCCAACTGCGATCCTGATATTTCAGTATTCTCCCGGGGACAGGAAGGACTGTGGGTTCTTTGGACTTATCTCTCGAGCCAAACATGCCATGGGCCCCCGGCCCCCCTTCTCCTGCACACTTACTGCCGGAGAAGCTGCCGCCCCTCCTTCCACACCAGCGGGCTATTCTCCAGGGTGACCGACTCCACGGGACCGTTGGAGACTGGCAGGTGGAGAGAGAGGAGGAGGCATTAGTCAGGCCACAGCCACCCACCCATCACCTCCTCCAGCTTCCTCACCCCTCTGGAGAGCAGAAATTGGGCCTGGCACAGAAATTGGTCCTGGGGAGTCACTTCCTGAGGGTCTGAAACCCACTCTATCCTGTGCTCTTGGTGATTCCTCCTCCTTGAAGTGTGCCTCATCTCCAGCCTGACAGGTCGTTCTCCAAACCAGACCCCAGTCAAGACAGTTCAGTCTCAAAACACAGAGCAACTTGTTATCTTCCCACACAGAAAACTGACCTGGTTCTAAACAGGGGCCCTCAATCCCTGGGCCTCGGACCAGTACTGGTCTGTGGCCTGTTAGGAACCCAGCTGCACAGCAGAGGTGAGCAGTGGGCCAGGGAGCGAAGCTTTGTAGGGATTCACAGCCGCTTCCCATTGCTCGCGTTATTGCCTAGCTCCACCTCCTGTCAGAACAGTGGCGGCATTGGATTCTCCTAGGAGCACGAGCCGCACTGTGAACTGTGCATGTGAGGGATCGAGCACGCACACCCTTATGAGAACCTGATGCCTGATGATCTGAGGTGGAGCTGAGGCAGTGATTAGCAGTAAGGTTTGACTGCACATCCCCCCACCCCACGCCCCCAGTATGGAAAAACTGACTTCCACAAAACGGGTCCCTGATGCCAAAAAGGTTAGGGACCACTGTTCTGAGACAATGGGCAAACTGGGCTTGAACCCATCCCCGCTGCATGACCTCAGGCAGGTTAGCATAACCCGAGTCTCAGTTTCCTGAGACATGAGGTGAACAATAACAGCACCTACCTCTTGGGACTGTTGTGAAGACCAAAGGAGATAACTCACTCACTATTTATTCAAGTATTCATTGGGCATCTACATTATGCCTAGCTGGGGATGGCCTCCTCAGTCAACAAAGACCCCTGTCCTTGAGAAACCTGCATTCTAGCAAGAGGAGTGACAGCAGATGCCAGCCATCACTGTCAGCCCTGCACAGAGGTCTTGCAGCCTGCCTCAGCTGGCCTCCCGCCACCCCCAGCCAGCCTGCCATGCCCTAAGCCCAGGCACTAACTCCTGTCCCAAGCACACCACACTCTGAGTGTGCGTCTGTGCACACCCTTCCCTCACTCCCCTGCTGGGAGCTGATTCTACTTTCAAGGAGCTTAGAAAAAGTGCAGGGTCCATGCCTCCCTTTGCTTTCTGCTTTACCCCTGACCAGTGACACAAAGCCACAAATACACACATTTTTTTAATGAATGACTGAGTAACAATCCAGTTCAAATGCCACCTCTTCGGTGAAGTCTTTGCCAGCTTTCCTAGAAATGCCTCTGCACTCCCTCCTCACGGAGGATCTTGGGAGCCGTGTGTGTCTGCTGCTACCGCACAGGGAGAGCAGGCAGGATTGGCCCCGAGGCCCAGAATAGTACCTGGCATGAACAGCCTCTGGGGATTCCAGCCCACTCCCCTCCCCAGCCCTGGGGCCAATTCTGCTCCTATGGAGCAAAGTAAAAAGGAGGTACCCATCTTCACAGTCTCTGTCACACTCAGCTTGGGTGGGAAGATCAATGGGTACCTTGTTCTGACACATCTGGTTTCTTCTCCCCCTGGTTCAGGTCTGTCCCAAACTTCAGTTTATGATACTTGGCCCTAAGATCAAAAGCATACGAGATGCAAGAGAGCAGCCAGGGTCAGCATCACCTGAGGAATTCCACTCTCCCAGCTCTGAACTGAACTGTCCCCACCCATGGCCCCGTGGAGGAGGCACCAGAGAGCGCGTCGTGGTAAGGACGCCGCTCCCTGGAGTCAGGCATACCAGGCTGCCCTCCCGCTCTAGGAGTCCTTGAAGGAGTCACTCACCCTCTGATGCCTCAGTTCCTTACAGAAACGAGGTTCATCACACCCACTGGGCTACTGGAGGGATTCACGAGACAAGGAATGCACAGTACTTGGCATGCAGTGGGTTACCATCACCATGAATAGCATTCCTGGTGTCCACCCTGAATCTCGCCTGCCATTCCTCTTTTCAGCTCCCTCCCCTAGAACCTCAGGGTACCCGGAAGGTGAAGAGAACGCCTGACCCAGGTCTCCCTCAGTTGGAAGGGAGCATGCCAGTGGCCTGGTGGCCTCCCGACCCCCGTCCTTGTGCAGGCAGGGCAGGGCTCACCTCTCCTGCTTCAGCGCATACTCCAGCATCTTGATCCGTCGCACCAGGTCTGTCTTGAGATTCTCCTGCCCTTTCCGCTCTCCCTGGAGGAAGGCCACCTGAGCCTGGGAGGGCAGGGGAGGCAGGGCAAAAGAAGGCATGTTCAGGCTCCCTGATGGTGGGCCCTCACTCACAGGGAACAGCTCTGGCCCCCACCCCACAATCACACGCGGCAGCCCTTCCTCAGGCATGAAGACCCTGAGCCAGGGCTCCACGGAGCACTGAGAGGACTGCTGGCTCTGTTCCCAGGGTCCCCTGCCATGTCACACACAACGAGAGAGATGAAGAGGAGTCCTCAGCCCCTGAAATTAACATGGGGTCGGGCTGGGCCTAACTTAGCAGCTGCCTGTGGGGAGAGTCGGGTCAGGGACAAGAGTGGAGAGGAGGGTGGGCATGAACAGCCCTGGGCATCCTCCCACGCCCCGGCAGGTGCCGTCTCTAAGGCTGCTGGTGGGGATGGTGCCCCACTATTCTTACCAGAGCATCTGCCTCTGGGAGGCGTAGGAAGCTACTTCTGGCGCTCAGGGACACGAGTGGGTGGCTCGGCTCAGCTCCTGCTCCACACAGAAGCTACTACCCGACCCCTGCCGTGGGGACAACTGTCCGCTGAATGCGCCCAGGGTGTGTGAGAAGTGCCACAGACATGACCCCGGGCTCCCGCCAAGCACTTCACACCGTCTGCTGGCGTGGGCTGCCCAGACTGTTCCAGTCTGTCAACAGGTCGTCTGGAGACAACGGGCCAACGGAATTCCAGGCAGGATCCTGGCCCTGACCACGTTCCAGCAGCCCTTCTGCCAAAGTCCTGCAGCAGGGCTCATCCCTGGCCTCTCCCCAAGGGCGCCACCGCCCCCGCCCAGGCAGCCTGTGCGCCAGGCCCAGTGCAGACACTCACTTGCAGCATGATCCCAGGCAGGTCGTCGGCCTTCTCTGAGCCTCCTTCTTTTGCCCCTCTAGACAACGCGGCCCTCAGAGTGCCTTCCCCCCATGTGCGAAGCTCTGCTCAGCCCACGGCCGAGCACAGGAGGGCCTGCAAATGCCAGCTCCTGCCTCTCCCACTGTTTTCATTCTCACACTTCCACCACGGGCCCTAGGACAGCTCAAGGCCCTGAGGCCTGAGACCAACCAGGCCGACCCACACTCCTCTCCCCATCCTTGGGGCTCACTGGTCCTGACCCACCTGCCCCATGTGCTCGGAGCAGGGGCAGCCCTGTACCCACAGGCCTCTGTCCTGCCCCGAGGCCAAGTGTTCCCTCAGGTGAGCAGAGAAGAGAGCACATGTTAAGTAATGCCTGGCACCGGCTGGAGCCAGGGCAGCCAGCACACTCACACACCACTGGGGGGCCTCGAGTCGCCCCTTCCCAGAGGACAGTCTGGCAGTATCTATGAGAGTGTTCCACGCAGACTCCTGTTGTCCCAGCAGTTTGTTTCACTTCTAGAATTTATCCTCCAGGCAAATGTGGAAGGGCCAGCTTCCTTTCAGACAAAAGGGCTAGGCAAGCACTCATGCATGCCAAAAGGTCATTTGCCCATTCATTTGCTCCACAATCATTTGTTAAGCGCAAAAGGAGGTTATGAAAGGGTTTTAAGCAAAGAAGATATGCACCAGCTACCCAGGATAGGCTTGAGAGAGGTGCAGGACAATCAAGACAAATACAGGAGACCAGGTTTGTCAGTGGAGAAAAATTTCATTGGTCTATTGAGAGACAGACCCCCCCCCCGGTGCTTTTTACCAACACACATGGAAATGTCTAGGGCCAGCAGACAGACAACTCACATGGGATCAGTAGCTCTGAAGTACGAATTTCTGTCCTTTGTGCATCTTCACAGTCCCCCAAATTTACTCTATGAGTCACTTTAGAGGGTCGGAGAGGGCTGGGTGCAATTGCTTACTTCTGTAATCCCAGCACACTTTGGGAGGCCAAGGCGAGAGAATCACTTGAGCCCAGGAGTTCAAGCTCAGCCTGGGCAACACAGTAAGACCTCGTGTCTACAACAACAACAAAAAATTCAGGTGGCCATGGTGGTGCACACCTGGAGTTTCAGCTACTCAGGAGGCTGAGGTGGAAGGATCGCCTGTGTCCAGGAGGTCAAGGCAGCAGTGAGCCATGACTGTGCCACTGCACTCCAGCCTGGGCGACAGAGTGAGACCCTGACTCAAAAAAAAAGAAGAAGAAGGTGGGGAAGAGGAAGGATGGGTTATTGACCCTTCGGCCTCCCAGCACCAGTGCAGCCTGCTAAAAGCTCACATCTGCTCAACACACGCAAAACATACCAGGTGCTGTGCACAGCTCTGGGAATAACAGAAAAGCCACGTGGCTCCTGCCTACACAAGGTGCGGTCCAGTGCAAGAGCCAAGCATGAGCAGCAACAACACACACACTCAACGTGGCTAGGACCCTAGTGAGGGAGCCAAGGAGGCGATGGGAGGCAGAGGGAGAAATGACAGTTCAGTCAAGCCCTGAGGCTGACTTGAGTAGCCAGGGAGGGAAGGGCGCTGCCTCGGAAGAGATGGTGGGTTTAAGAAACTCTGAAGGCAGGGGTCCGTGGCTCAGTCTGTAATCCCAGCACTTTGGGAGGCCGAGGCAAGTGAACTGCCTGAGCCTGCGGGTTAGAGACCCTCCCAAGTAACTTGGGGAGACCTCGTCTCTACAATAAGTCAAAAATTAGCCAGGTGTGGTAGTGCACGCCTATAGTTCTGGCTGCTTAGAAAGCTGAGGCACAAGGATCGCTAGTGCCCAGCAAGTTGACACTGGGATGGGCATGAGCATGCCACTGCACTCCAGCCTGGGTGACAGAGTGAGTCTCCAACCAAAAAAAAAAAAAAAAAAACTCGAAAAAGGCCAGAGGGTGGTTTCAGAATGTATCAAAGGTTTAGCAAGGAAAGCCAAAAGAACAGAGGCCCAGCAAAGGACAGGGGCCCACTGTGACAAGTGTGAAATTATCCCAAGAGCACAAGGAGGCTATGAAAGGGTTTTAAGCAAAGAAGAAGGGTGGCCAGACTTGCACATTACAGGGGCAACTCCAGCCAGAACACGACGCCACAGGCAGAAGACATCAGTCAAAGAAGGGCAGTCACAGATATCCTAGAGAGAAGTGACAGTGGCCTGGACTGAGATCAGGGCTGTGGATACAGCGATGGGGCCTGTTGTAGGAGAAGAAGGTGGAGTCCAGCCTCCTACTAGCCTCACTCACACAGCAGCCTCCCTTCAGACCCTGGCCCCTCTGTCGAGCCCTATCTCCTAATAACTGTGAGAGGTCCTCAGGTGCCCATGCTGCTTTGCTGTCCACTTCTCGGTGCCTCTGGCAGTGGAGAGAACCAGAAAGATGTGTTTGAAGTGTCTCAGGCTGGTGGAATCCCACCAAAAAGGGGAGGTGTCGGGCGTCCGGCAGACTTTCCCCTGTAAACGCCAGCGTCCCCACTGGCTGCCTCATCTGCCAGGGCCATGGAGGGCGGCAGGTAGGACTGGGACCTGGAAGTCTTCTGCTCACCACGGCCACCCGCTGCCACGCCCTCTGAACAGAGCAGCAGCCGAACCATCCAGATCTTTGGCGGCTGCCTCCTCCCCTCCCCGCCAGCTGCTCGCTCCCCAGCACCGCAGCATCTGATAGGCTTTCCAGACTGAAGCCTCTCTGAATCGCTGCTTTCTGTCCCAGCCCCATGGAAGGAGTCCTCATTCAGTGCCTTGGAGTCATCGAGTTCTATGCCTCCTTCCCAAGCTTCAGTGGCTCCTGGCAGGGCTGGGTCCCCACTGGATCCATCAGACTCCTGGGAGGCTGTAAGTGGGGAGGAGAGAGCTCCACCTCTTCTCTGCTGGCCACACACTGCAGCTCCCTGTCGCTGCTCCTACAGAAAGTCCAGTTCCAAGCCGTCCCTAAAACGTTCCTCCCATCCTCAAAAAGCTTCCCTTCTCAGAGGTGCCCAGAACACTGGCAGGGTCACACAATGGAGAACTCAGCTGCGAATTAATGTCTAGCGCTCTCTGCAGTCCCCTGTGCAAGCCAGCTTGCTCTGCAAGCCAGCTTCCTCTGCTAGCCTGGAAGTTTCGGGAGGGCAGAAACCACACTGACCACTTCTGAGAATCCCTTCACCTAGCAAATTCCTGCTTATGATCAGAATGCAGATGCGCCACCTTCCTGCTGCAAACTTCAGGTGTCTCTGGCAGGACCCCACAAGGTGCTGCCTTCTCCACTCAACATCCGGGTACTGAGCAGGGACACCACAGATCTTCTCCTCAGGACAAAGTTATTCAGGGTTCGTCAGAAAAATCTGACATGTGCTCAAGTAAAGGTCCGCTGATGGGACTGTCAACCGGCGAGGCAACAAGGCAGAGCCAGTCCCATTTCATGAACACATTGGTTCTCGGATTCCACCCTTGTATTCTGCTTTATACTCACGCAGGAATCAAGGAGAGTCACACTGCAGCCAGTCTGATGGGGAGAAGCTAGAAACCATCTACAAGTCCATCAGTAGGGGTCAAACTAAATAAGCCACAGCAAATGCAGAAGAGTTCCCTGATGATATGAAAGGAACACCACAACCTTATGTGCAAGAGTCACCAAATGATACACAGGATGGTCTCACACATTACACACACACACACACACACACACACCCCCTCTGAGATGTCTGAATTTTTACTAAAATAACAGAATAAAAGAAAACAGCCGGGCTCGGTGGCTCAGCCTGTAATCCCGCACCTTTGGGGGGCTGAGGTGAGTGGATTGCCTGAGCCCGCGGGTTCAAGACCCGCCTGGGCAGCGAGACCTCATCTCTACAATAAATCAAAAAATCAGCCAGGCGTAGTAGCACACGCCTGTAGTTCTGGCTACTTGGAAGGCTGAGGTGGAAGGATCGCCGGAGCCCAGCAGGTCGAGGCTGGCCACTGCACTCCAGTCTGGGCGACTGAGTGAGACTCCAACTCAAACAAAACAAAACAAAACAAACATACCACATAAGTGATGGCACTGGTGCCCAGAGCCTAGCCGGACGCTCCCCACAAATTCCCCTCAAACTCCAACAAGAGTCACTATGTGAGGACACACGCACACTTTCCTCCCATTAGCCTCAAAGATGAGAAGGTGGTGTGCTGGGCGCACTGGCACAAAGTCCAAGATCAGGACTCAGTCCAAGCTCCGCCAGGACTGCTGGTGGCCCTGGGAAGACCACTGTGCTTGCCTGGACCGGTTTCCTCGTCTGTACTGGGTGGCAGAGAGGACAGAGCACGGGCTTAAGAGTTCACAGGTCAACCCTGCCACCCATCTGCTGGCATCCTGGAGAAATCGCTTGCCCTCTCAAAGCCTCTATGTCCTCTTCTGGTTACATTTTTTAAAAGGGGAGGCTATCATTTACCCTTCCAGAATGATGCAAGAATTAAATGACAGCAGTACAGAAAGTGTTTAATACAGCGCCGAGACAAGATATGTGCTCAAGAAACAGAAGCTGCTGTCATAGCTGCTGAGTGAGGTAAGGACACCCGCTCTGCCTACATAATGGGGCATTGAGACACTCTAATGAGACGGATGCTGGGAAGAGCTTCAGAAGTGGAGAGGGACCCAGCAGTGAGGAGCACTTACGTAAGGATTCCTCTCCCACCCGGCCACAAGCCTCAGCCACCAAAATCTAAATTCCCCGTGGGGGTGGAAGAGTTGCTGGCTGTTCTTCACTCATTCCGTGGACCCACTCCTAAGCAGTTATTTATTTGGGTGTCCACTTTGACTAGCTAGGAAACAGCAAAACAGCAGGGGGAAAGGGGCTGCTGAACCAAGTACTGACAACTTCTGCTGATAACGCCCCAGCCCAGGAGCCCTCAGCCTCCTGGATCCATCCCTGGGTCCCGTCAGAGCCTCAAATCTCGGATGCTGGGCTCCTCCCACACTCACCGCAAAAGGACCCGACACTCCTAGAGGCCACACACCCTGACCCCATGCCACAGACTCTTCCAGGCATCATCCAGGGCACATCCTCTCCCAGGCTACTCCACAAACCATGGGGTCCTTTCCCAGAAACTTCCACAAAAACATCTGCCCCCAGGGTCCCTCCGAAACGCCTCCTCACCTCCTGCTCTACCAAATGCTACCCGTGGAGCATCACCCCAGGGTACCCCCCATTCCTCCTCCTTGGCACCAACCCGGACCGCAACTCCACGCTGGCCTCGCCAGACCCGCCTCCGCTCCAGTTCGGGGCTCCCTACCTGACACCCCGCCCACACCTCCCGTCTCAGAGCCATCGCCCCCACTCCTCCGCACCCCCAAACCCGCGCTTCCCCGCTCGAGCTCTCCCGCCCAGGCTCCCAGGGCACGTCCTCTGCCCTGTCCAGCTTCCAGCCCAAGGGCCCTTGCCTTGCGCTCCGCAGCCACACGCGCCCGACTCCCCAAAGTTTCTCCACAGAAGGCAGCGCACACACCTTCATCCCGGGGCCCCCCGAGACCCCCCACAGCCTTGCGGCAGTGTCCCCCGTCCAACCGCCCCGCGAAACACGCCCCATCCCTGGCTCCCAGGCTTCCTCTCCCCGCACCCCTGGGCTCGCCGCCAGGCCCGGCCCTCGTCTCCCCAGGGCCCCAAAGTCCCCGAGGCAGACGCCCGCTCGGTGCCACCTCCAGCCGCACCCGGCCGGCGAAGGGCGCGGGGGAGGAGGACCCTCGTCACCCCGCCAGCCTCTGCCCGCTCCCGCAGGAGACCCC